CAGTACTTTCTCCACGAGATACAAGTCGGGATTAGCGATGCGACGCAACTCGTGCTCGTAGAATCCTCCAGCGACCGGTTTTCCACGGTAATCTTTCAGAAGATACGTCAACGGATTAGTTTTCTGTACTTTGACGACTCGAAACACCTTTGTGGTCCAATTTGGCGTGTAACCCTTCTCAAAGATCGTCTTGTACTTGCTCACGCGTACCGCGTCGCCTACTTTAAATTTTGCGGGACCAGCGATCTTTATCGCGCTGTACACCGTGTCCAAGAGTCTTTCGGCGCTAGCGGGAGTTACGTCAGAAGGTCGCATGCCGATGGTGTGATGCTTGCGCGTGTTGTAATCCGACACGAGACGCGGCAGCGTGTCGACCCACTTGTAATTGCCGTTGAGCGTAAACATCTTCCACATGTCGTTCTTAAGCGCGATTGAACCGCTCGACCACCGACACTTTCAACGTCGAATACGTGGAATAATGATTAATGTCGTGTTTTTTCAAGACTTTCTGCACATTGGCGTTGTAAAACTTCTTTCCCATATCCGTTTGCAGATTCTTCGGACATCTTCCGCTCTCTCGAATTATTTCAGCGATAGCGTCAGCGGTCTCGCTACCGCCCTTGCTCTTGAGCGACACGTCCCACGCATACTTGCTCAACACATCGATGACGGTGAGTATGTAGTGACGACCCCTGTTGTAACTCGAGTACGGTCGCATCTCAACGATGTCGGCCTGCCATAGATCGTCGTATCCCCGTACTATGACGCGTCTTCGTGGAAAATTTCTTCTCGCCGGAGCGTGCAATTCCTCGACGAGCCTGCGTCTCTCGGAGCTGACTCTTTTTTCTTTCATGATTCGTCATGAAAAAAAAAATATAACAATAATACTTTATTCGATGACACCAATCGACTGGCTCGTTTCGTCGATACGCGATTTAATTTATAATAAGACCGGCTTCGCGAAGTTCCTCGATGATCGACGGCATCTCGTTGCCGTGAGCGGTGTTGCCCGCTCGTTGCGAAGCGTCGAGCAACCGTAGACGATCCACCAACTCGTTGGGATCGTCCCAGTGCACGTACTCGATCGCGTTGTCGTTTAGCGTCATGGCGCGAAGTAACCCTTTTCCAAATTTTTTCATAGGTGTGACCAACGGCTTGATTATGTTCTTGTACTTGTATCCCCTGTTGACCAGTACTCGACCCTGCGAATGGTGCTTGTGCTTATGCGCGTTCGTCGCCTGCAGCATGCTCTTGTACTCGCGCATATCTTCTTCCGTGTGAAGCGTATCGTCGGGAAGTCTCTTGAAAATCAGCTCGTAAAGGCCGGGTGTACCGGCGTTACGTACGCCGTCGATAATTATGTTATCCGCGTCATCCACGTCGAAACGCTTATTGCCGAGCATTAGTCCGTCCTTGTCCAAGTAAGCGCCGTACACGCGATCCATACCGCTCTCATTGTGTCCTCGTAGGACAGGCTCAACATACTTTAGACTTAGCGGGCCCATATTAATTCGTGATTTCTCTCGGTTCTCCGACGAATGATTCTGATCGGGTATCGCGAGCGTCGCGTACGTCGTTTCGGAAACGTCGTCGAATGACTCCGACGGTTGGGTAGGTGCATGCGGTGTGGAGGTTATCGGCTCGAGCGTTTGATCGAATAAATGCGTGCGCGGAGTCACGAAGAAATCTCCCGCATCCTTCTCCTCCTCATCCTTCTTCTCCATTCTCTTGCGTTTAGGGGTAGCGTCACGCGACTCTGTCTTTATCGCGCGCACGATGGGACTACCGTCTGCGATCTGCAACGGTTCAACGATAGGCTCGAAACGCCTGTCCAGCGCAATGTCCTCGTCGATTCTACCGGTCTTCAGAGCGCGATGTTTCTTGCGGATCGACTCGCTCGTCCTCTCAATCTCCCTCGCGATTTTTTTACGCTCTCGCACGTTAAGCATGTTTGGCTCAGTCGAAGTACGGACGATGACTGACAGCGTGACGGTATCGCGAACTCGTTAAATCCTCTTCTATATCTCCCCTTTGTAAGCGCACTGTCCTTGTCTATTACTACAAATCCATATTTTTGTTGCCAACATTTGTAACACAACGCGCAAAATTCGTCGTACGACATGTCGGTATTCACATGATCTTTGTAAACGTGTTTCAAGTTGGTACTATCCTGCTTGAACAGGATTAGCAGATTCGCGTTGTCGCGTATCAGATGTTTAGGTATCCTCGCGTACGTCTGACAGAGATAAAAGCAGTCTACGTTCGCGTGGCGACCCATCGAAAAGTACTCTCGCACCGCGTTCTGTTTGTCACATGCCACGTCGTCGAAGATAAAGATAGAATTCGGTAGCGCCTCGTTCGGTGGAACGACAACGCTGTTGTTGGAGAACGTAAAGCAGCCGATTTCGTCGATGGACGTCAACAAATTTTCAAGATATCGATACTTTGGCTGTTGCAGCGATTTCGAGTAGACGTAGGTACACGTTTTCGAAACGTACGCTGTTGGGGCTCTCGAGCAAGCTTATCAGCACGTTCGTCTTACCGCAGTTTGACGGACTACAGACGATCGCGCGTATAGTATTCGGCAGCATTTGACCGTGCTTGCGCTTATTCGCGTCGTCCCGCATCGTTTGCAATTTCGCGTTACAATTCATGACGCGTATCGTCAGTGGAGACTGCACAAATTTCATACTCGCACTGTAAACTACCCGCAGTCCCCAACGCCTATTTATAGGCGCGCGAATCCGCGAATCGGGCAGTAGCAAAATGTATTTCACGCTGTATCATCGTTCTTCCGACATTCGAGAATTGAACGCTGAGCAGTTGCAGTATATACCGAAGATCGTACTGTTACAAGTGTGCGGCGATTATATCGATCACGTGTGGGACAAGCTTCCGGAACACGTAAAGACGGATTCGGAGGTACAACGACACTGTCGGTGTCTGAAGCATTACAATTTGCCGAGTCAGCAAACGCACATCGACGGTCCGCCGCATCTGATAAAGAATTGCGGCGAATGTCAACGAAGAGCTTGTTAAATCGGGCGATAAACGCGCTTCCTTTTGAGTTACATATTCCAGGCTACCAGTTTTGCGGCCCCGGCACTCGACTGAAGAAACAATTAGCCAGAGGCGACGCAGGTGTAAATCCACTGGACGCGACGTGTCGCGAGCACGACATCACGTATTCTCGGAGCAACGATCTCACCGATAGACACGCGGCGGACGAGGTACTCGCCGAGGAGGCGCGAAAACGCGTTACCGCGAGAGATTCGGCTCTGGGTGAGAGCCGCCGCTGCTGCTATCTGGACAGCGATGAAAGCCAAGACCAAGATCGGCATGGGCATGAAGAAGAAGAAGACGACGAAAAAACGGATTCTTCCGACCGCGAAACGAGGCGGCATGTTGTCGATTCTGCCAATGTTGGGCGCCCTCGCATCTCTGATCGGCGGAACGGCCGACGTGGCGAAAGCGGTAAACGACAGCAAAGCCGCGCGGCGTCAGCTCGAGGAGCTGCAACGTCACGATCGCGCGATGGAACAGGGACGCGGACTGTATCTCGCTCCGTACAGATACGGACGCGGGCTGTATCTCGGTCCATACAAACGCGGACAGGGTATGAAAAAAAAAAAAAAAACGTCGAAGAAACGATAAAAATGCCCACGGGCGCAACCACCAACGTGCAACTGCTACAACTTGCAAAACGTATGCGCGTACCGTACTTTAGAGGAGTTTTCATGCGTAACGCGTTACCGAAACGAAAGCGGTATCGTGAATCTGGACGATATGACAGGCTCCGGTACTCACTGGGTAGCGTACGCGAAGAGGAACAATCGCGTCGTGTACTTTGACAGTTTCGGCAATCTGCGACCGCCCGAGGAACTCGTGCGATATTTCGGCGTTACGACTACGATAGAGTACGTCCTATCAGACGTACGATCAGAACTTTTGCGGACAGATGTGTCTGCAGTTTCTACAAACGGTCGAATTTTAAAAAGCTCGACGAGGCGTCGTGTGATTTCAGTGCTCGTCGAACCATCATGTCGTTGACACTTACGCTAAGCGGGAAGAACAGCGTTCTCGCGGCAAGCTACTTTCCCGCGATAGACTTGAGCGACGACGACTACGAGCTCGGTCTTACGATTTTCGAGACCTATTACACGATACCGAACGTGAACGATTCGAACAATAAATTTCATTTTGGAAACGATGACGAGGAAATTACGATCCCCAAGGGTTCGTACGAACTACAAGCCATAAACGAATTTCTGAAACGCGCGATTTCGCGGAAACGTCCGCAAAGCGACATGCTCGATATCGTTGATATAGTGCGTGGAGACGTACCTCCCGATGACAACGACGACAACTTGCATGGAGAGTATCCGATAGCGCTCCGCGCAAACTACAACACGATGAAGTGCAATATTATATGCGCCTTCAGAATAAACTTTGACAAACCTAACAGTATCGGATCGCTGCTGGGATTCTCATCGAAGCGTATATTACGACCGCGAAAATGGCACGAGTCGGACGTGTCAGTCAACATAATGAACGTAAACGTTATCCGCGTAGAGTGTAACGTAACCACCGGCGCGTACAGCAACGGTAACAGCGCGCACACGATACACGAATTTTCGCCTCAAGTGCTACCGGGATATAAGATATCGGAAAGGCCGACACAGATCATTTATCTTTCGATCATCGCACGGAGCATTACGAATCTAACGATACGCATCGTCGATCAAAACGGGCGGTTGCTCGATTTTCGCGGAGAAGAGATCACCGTCAGATTGCATGTGCGACAGCGACAGCGATAACGCGCGCGCGCGTGAGATGCTCGTGTTGAACCAGCAGATAGATAACGTATCCTTCGCAAAGCCATCGCCGCTCGACAGTACTCGCTCATCCGAACGCATCGAAAAGAAGAACAAGAGGCTCAGTGCATCGAACGTTGAGTTTTTAAAATTTCTGGGATTCGTGGTGCGCAACTTTTGAAAAAGATGACCGACATTCTAAACGTCAAGGACGAGTCAGTCTTCGACGATCGCATCGTCAAGATCGAGACTCACACGTACAACCCGTTCGTCAACACGACGTTTGGACACAGCGATGAGATACGAATACCAATACAATAACAAGATCTGTACACGCTGCCGTATGAAAGTTTTCTGTACATCGAAGGAAAATTGACAAAGAATGCAGTGGTACCGAACGCCGACGTGACACTGGGAAATAATTGCGTCGCTTTCATGTTCGATGAGATTCGCTACGAACTCAAAGGTGTGGAGATTGATCGCAACAGAAACGTGGGCGTAACTAGCACGCTCAAAAACTACGTGATCATCCGACAAAAGCGTGATTCTGCGAAACGCTGGCTGGGATCCGCAGACTGAGAATGATGGATACTTTAATTTCTGCGTACCGCTCAACGTACTACTGGGATTCTGCGAGGATTACAGACGCGTGGTGATCAACGCTCGTCACGGGTTGATTCTGATACGATCGCGCAACGATGTGAATTGTCTGTTGGGAAATTGGACGGTGGAGCCGAAGCTTGAACTGTTCAAGATCCAATGGCGAATGCCGCACGTGGTATTGAGCGAGATAAATAAGTTGTCGATGCAACGGGCCTTGGGGAGTGGACGATACCTGAGCATGCCTTTTCGCTCGTGGGATCTGTACGAGTACCCGTTTTTACCGAATACGACGAAACATTCCTGGGCTATGAAAACTGCGACTCAGCTGGAAAAACCGCGATACGTCATCTTTGTTCTGCAAACGGATCGAAAGAAGATGGCCGAGGATACGAGCCGATTCGACGACTGTAAATTGACCAACGTGAAACTCTACCTGAACTCGGAATGTTATCCGTACGACGACTTGAATCTGGATTTCACTAAAAACAAATGGGCGATTCTGTACGACATGTACTCGCGTTTCTGCAAGGGCTACTACGGATACGAGTATCTCGAACCGAATATCACCGTTACGACTTTTTTACGAAACGGTCCGTTCGTAATCATCGATTGCTCTCGACAGAACGAATCGGTCAAGAGCGCGACCGTGGACGTGCGAATGGAATTTGTGTGCAAGGAGAACGTACCCGCGAATACTACCGCGTACTGTCTCATCATACACGATCGCGTGGTCGAGTATAACCCGCTGACCAACGTTGTGCGCAAAATCATCTAAGCGCGCGATATAAAAATCTACGATACGTCGACATCGTTCGCAGTCTTCTTCATCTCGATGACATGCGTGTACCGACGTTCGTGGATCTGCAAGGTTTCATCGTCAACGAGAGATTCATCGTGAAGGAAGTGACGGTACTGAAACACGGGACCGTACTCACGCACTACATTTTTACGAATCCCGTACCATGGAGATTTTTGACAAGATCCGACAGGTCTTGCGCTTCCTGGTTGATTGCCTATCACCATGTATTGCGATGGACGGACGGGACGACCTCGTACAGCGAGGCGAAACGCCTGATTACGAGTGCTGTACGCGAGGAGGAGGAGGATGCTGTGGTGTACGTCAAGGGACGTGAGAAACGAACGTGGCTGCGAGACTTGCTTCTGGACGAACGCGTGCACATCGAGACCCTGGATGCAGTTTACGAAGACATAAAATCTTTAGCCGATATAGATGCCACTGATACTATGCGATGTGGACATCACGCTAACAATTGCGCTTTACAAAATGTATTCAAAATATATAATTGGTGGTTGCAAAGAAATTTTATAAAATAAAAATTATGTAACGTATTTACCGTGTGTTTTCTCTTTTCCTATATATGTACTTACAAGTAACACTATGGAACTGCAATACGCCGATTTTTATGAAACTGTGCATACAAGTAGTTCTTCGAACACTATTTGACAGGCAATTTTTCGTTTTTCCCCAAAAACGAATTTTAGGGTGGAAATCACCCCTACATTTTTTAGGGGTGGACATACAGGGGTATTTTACAGACCGTTTGTAGGATTTCTATGAAATTTGTTATCTGAGGGTTTTTGAGGTCGCTGATTACGAATTTGAAATCAGTTTTTAAAAATTTAAAATGGCGGATCCAATATGGCGGTCGGATTTTAAATTATTTTAAGGATTTCTATCAAACATGATATCTAAGGATTTTCGTGGTCGCTGATTACGAATCTGAAGTCTATTTTTGAAAATTCAAAATGGCGGATACAATTTGCGGTTGGGTTTTTATTTTTTATCAGATTTATTAGAGTCCCCTTACCTCTCACAATATCGGGAGGTTTTTGATGTTAGTCCCCTTATCTCTCACATGTCTTTATCCATTATGAAATTTGTGCAATAATGTGGTGGGTTAGCATCTGTAATTGCAAAAAAGTGTTGCATGCACATTGATGCTGTACACCACGCACATCTAACTATTCCTACGTTATTGCAAAATGAGCAGGTACTGTCGCATTCTCTTAAGCAAAAATGTGCAGGAGTTTCACATTTTTCCGGTTTATCAGTTAAATTTTGGCGCTTTCTGCCAAGGACGCAAGGTCGCGGCAGTTGCGCGACCAAGTCGTCAATTGTTTTTACTGATTCTAAACATAAACTATTCTGACGCGCTTGGATATTTGTTTATGTCGTGCGTTGCTGTTTTGTGCCTATCGAGATCAGTGGAAAGTTCTTGAGTTCCGATGAACCACTCGACCGTGACGGACGCGTTTCGATTCGGGTGCTTTCCATTGTATGTTTGTATGTGTTGCCGACTGTGCATTGTATCACACAGATGCGTGTCCGCGGATGAGTTCGTCTTGATTGTTCGTCATTTTGCACTTTTCGACGATTAGGGCTCTTATGACGTGCGTTATTGCAATGTGGTCATATTATGAATATAATAATGTAAGTATATCAATGTAAGTATAAATACTGATTCTACAATGAGTCGGTAGATGGAAGCTTGGTTCAAACGTGTTAATGAAAAGTAATGAACATGTATATTAAATTCAAAGTAATAAAAATAATGAACATGTATATTAAATTCAATAAAAACATATACATTAAAAGTAATACATATGTTAATAAAATTTAAGACATCAATAAATAAATATTCATATACAGCATTCATTACTTTTCATTAACACGTTTGAACCAAGCTTCCTTTACATGTTCATTAAAAGTTATTAAGAAATTTCTAACAACAGTGTATGTTAAAATACAAACCTTCGAACTGCAACTTTAGTACCTTGCAGACGGAAAGAAAAGTACAATGCAGGACACGCGGATTTATGAAAATAGTTAAAACTTTATAAACGGAAAAGCTTTTATGTTTGACTATTATATAACATGTAATTATCCTATATGAAATTTTTTTATAGTCCTGTTAATTACACTATAATGAAAACTGACAAAAAAACGGACAGAAGGAAACTAAATTGATAGTGAAGACTGTTTTGCATTAAAAAATATTTTTATCATTTAAAAATAACTTTTTATATATTCATTAAAATAAATTTGGCACTTTTCCGTTTATAAAGTTTTAACTATTTTCATAAATCCGCGTGTCCTGCATTGTACTTTTCCTTCCGTCTGCAAGGTACTGAAGTTGCAGTTCGAAGGTTTGTATTTTAACATATATATATGTGATTTGTAAAAAACATTGCATTCTTTTGCTTGAGTTTTTTCATACTTTAACTCATTTCTTCTCTAATTCGTTTCATAGTTTTTCATTTCGAGTACTTTTCAGAACTCGAATTAGTTTCCTTTTTCAAGTCATTTTCTTTTCAGTTGTCAAGAGTAGGTAAAAAATTTCATTACAAGATATTTAAAGACAAGTAACCTTCATTAAGAAAATGTCGATGAATCCTAAAAACATTATTCTTTTATTACAAAAATGTTTTGACCGTTCTGAATACGAAGTAGTATCAGTAATAACAGATGAGGAAAAATCATTTGCAGCTCATTTAGAAACTTTGATAAAAGAATCTATTGATACACAAATGTTTTTTGAGAGCTTTGATAGCTTAAGCTTCAATGACAATAGTGTCAATCCTGACCCAAACAGCACGAAGTCGACTATTAGTAGACTGTCAGTCGGCAGACAAAGTCTAAAGTCGACTTTAAAGTCAGACTGAATGCCAACTTGTAGCCGACTAATAGTTGACAAATGTCTCGACTATAGTCGGCTGTAAGTCAGCCATGTCAGTCGACTTTAAGTCAACTTTATACTGACTATAAGTCGACAATTTTAACTAGGTTAGGGCGGCTAGGTCGACTTTTAGCCGACAATAAGTCGACTTTCAGCCAATTTGTATATGCCAGCATTGAATAGGTTATGACAACCATGTCGAATTTTAGTCGACAATAAGTCGACTATTAGTCAAACTTATAAGTCGATTTATTGTCGACTTTTAGGTCGATATTTATAATTAATTATTATTTGAATAATCATATAGTTTCATAAATCTGAGATTATTCATCATTTTATATTCAATTTGCACAAAGATAATCATGTATAAAATTCATATTCAATAACAGTTCAAAAATAGTTGAATAATCATCTTCGAATATCCTTGTAAAAATTGAACATATATATATTAATTGGCGAATAATCACAGATTTATGAAACTGTAATAATTATTCAAATAATCATTACAGTACAACTATAAATAACAATACATTACAACCATAAATATCGGCCTTAATCAATTTATTATCTATATGTATATTATTTATTACTGATTTTAAAAACAATACAAAAAATTTAAGCAAATACAAAGGCTATTAAGAGTCAACGCTGTTAGCAGTGCGCAAAAACACAATCTTAAAATCTATAACATAGATACCATGTCGAACGTTTCGATCCTTCGTTTCGGATCATCATCAGCGACAATACAATATAAATTTAAAAATTACTCAGAGTTGCAAACAATGATGTTGTCCCGCAGTATGTAATATACAACCAATCTGAGGCAAGACTATCACTTCTTCACGTGAAAGTATGTACATTAGTACGAATAATTGAGTATGTCTGAAGTTGGTCGACAAAAGACATAAAATCAATTATATCACAGAAATCGCATTGATCAAATTTCATCGTCAATATGTCTGTATATGACGATGTACAACGATATAATCTATTATATCGTTGTACATCGTCATATACAGACATATTGACGATGAAATTTGATCAATGCGATTTCTGTGATATAATTGATTTTATGTCTTTTGTCGACCAACTTGAGACATACTCAATTATTCGTACTAATGTACATACTTTCACGTGAAGAAGTGATAGTCTTGCCTCAGATTGGTTGTATATTACATACTGCGGGACAACATCATTGTTTGCAACTCTGAGTAATTTTTAAATTTATATTGTATTGTCGCTGATGATGATCCGAAACGAAGGATCGAAACGTTCGACATGGTATCTATGTTATAGATTTTAAGATTGTGTTTTTGCGCACTGCTAACAGCGTTGACTCTTAATAGCCTTTGTATTTGCTTAAATTTTTTGTATTGTTTTTGAAACATATAAGAGTCTATAATTCAATTATATTATTAAATTATTAATTTTTTATTACTGATTTTGTTTTAAATGACATTTATCAAAAACTTAATATCAATTTTATTTTACTTAAAATGTGTATTATAACAATAAATATATATATATATATATATACATATATATACATTCTTATACATTAAATTTGAAGTACCTATAATAAAAAAATTAGATACAGTTTTTGATAAATAATTATTAGAATTAAAATTCTAATAATAAACAGATTTTAGTAATAATAATAATATACAGATGAAGTTAAAATTTTATAATAGGTGTTATAATATAATAAAACATTAAATATATATATACACAACTATACATATATATATATTTCAAAATATAATTTTAATTAACATATAAAATCTTATATTAATAAAATTGAGTTAAGATAATGGTTTTTATTTTTTTAACATTAATGCTCTCATTCTATCGCCGGATCTTCGCAACCATTCCTGCATGCTCGCTTCTATTTCGGACACTGTAGTATTATCTTTCTTCAAGACAACGGCTACAAATCGAATCATGAACGAATCTATATAATAGTATTAGACATATAGTATAGACAATAGTATAACATTGTGCAACAAGTGCGAGAAGTTAACATTCGCACGTATCGCACATACTAATATTTTTCATTACACATGCGTCGAAAGTGGCT